TGAGTTAAATGAATATTTGAGAATCGTAGATGAGTTGTTTAAAAAATTGAGAAATGTGAAATAATATAAAAAATTATGTGGATTTCAAATGAATATGATGGATTTGAATGCTCTTAGCGTGAATTTTGTTATTTTTGTAAGATAAATTCATTGCATACAAAGAGAAATAAGTATTCTAGACAACTAAAAAAAAAGGAGTAATTTTGTATTGCCTAAAATTCTCAAACATTCAATCCTACCATCTCTAATTAAAACAATATTTAAAATGCAAATATCTTTATATTCTATGCATTTAAACAGTTTTAAATTTCCATTTATTCTCAAACTCAACACCACTTTCGTTTAAATTAGCAAAAATTCTAAATCTCGATCTCACACCTTGACCTTGCACCCTCAAGCAGCTGTTCACTTTTGAAAGTCATTCGAGGGCATTTCCGTCATTTCACGCAAATCCCCTTTCTTCCTCTCAGTTTTTCACTTTAAATACCAAAAACTCATCCCCGGAATTTCACTTGACATCACTTCAACCACTTCTCAATTCATCATCACCACCGTGCCGGAGACTGAGTTCCGGCGAGTATTCAACTCGGAACTCACTCCGTTTCTGTTACTGTTATCAAATTCTCTCATTTTTCTTCTTCCTTGCTCAAATTGGAAGAAGAAAAACCGAAAATGAGTTCAGAATTGACTTTCAGAGGACACGAAACACAGCAAGTGAACGACGAGTACTCACCAAAGCCAAACAAACCATGGCTCTCCGAAATTCGTCCGATTCGTTACTTGCTTCGTGAACAACGACTCGTTTTCGTGCTCATCGGAATCGCAATAGCCACCTTATTCTTCACACTCGCACCATCCTCTTCCACCACCTCACCCGCCTCCTCCTCATTTTCAACCGTCCGGTACGAGCCGCATCCGATCTCGTACTTCGAGCACGAATCCGAATCCAAAACCACGCCGTACCAGCACCACACCGCGGCGGTTCATTCGTTCGGGAAAGTTCCGTTAGGGCTTAAGAGAAAGGGGCTTCGAATCGTGGTGACCGGAGGAGCCGGTTTCGTTGGGTCCCACCTAGTGGATCGGTTGATTGAAAGAGGTGATAGCGTGATTGTTGTTGATAATTTCTTCACCGGAAGAAAAGAGAACGTTATGCATCATTTTGGAAACCCTCGATTTGAGCTTATACGACACGACGTCGTTGAGCCGCTTTTGCTTGAAGTTGATCAGATCTATCATCTTGCTTGTCCTGCTTCACCCGTTCATTACAAATTCAACCCTGTCAAGACTATTATATCCTTTTTATCGATTTCATTTTAATTATTTTTTATTTATCTATGTTTTCTTGCGTATTGTCTGTGTCGGCGTCGTAGTCCAACACAGACACTTCTGATTACTTGTGTGGACACTGACACTTGTGATTACTTGTGTTCGAGGTGTCTGGGCTTCATAGATTTAAACTCATTGTTTATATAGTTTAGAGTCCTTAATTCATTGTTTACAAGACGAATGTGGTGGGAACATTGAACATGCTTGGATTGGCTAAGAGAATTGGAGCTAGATTCTTGCTAACAAGTACCAGTGAGGTTTATGGTGATCCTCTGCAGCATCCTCAGAAGGAGACTTACTGGGGAAACGTTAATCCCATCGGTAAGTAGAATTATTTTTTAATCAATTCATTAGAAATGGAGATTAGTGTTTTTTTGTTTGGATGTGGATTTGAATTGGGAACATTGCATGTTGTGAGTGATTTCTTTTTCAAACGCCAAAAACTACTGTAGTTATTTTTATGACTTTTTTGGTTAACCAATAAGACACGTGGAAGGTGGCAAGAGGACCGTGTTTATTATGTATGAATTTCAGGGTGTCGTTGAGATAACCGTGATTTGCGGGTCGTCTAAATCAACGGCCCAGATCGTTGTTGGGGCACGTTGCTTATGGGGTAATTATGGGGGGTTTTTGGTTAAAGAAGGACCCAAGGAGAGCGAGGGCGATTTGGTCCGAAAGAGGGTTTTTTTGTCCTTTTTGTTTGTTTGTTTTGTGGGGGATGGTGTTAGGTAATTGATCTGGTAATAAAGAAATTGTTGTGATGTGAGACAGGTGTACGAAGTTGCTACGATGAGGGTAAGCGTACTGCTGAGACTTTGACTATGGATTATCACCGAGGGGCTGAAGTGGAGGTCATTTTCACTTTCCTTTTATATTATTATTTCAAATTGTTTGTTGGATTGGATTGGATTCAGTTGATTCATTGTGAAGTGGGTTTTTCAGGTTAGAATTGCTAGGATCTTTAACACATACGGACCCAGAATGTGCTTAGATGATGGACGTGTTGTTAGTAACTTTGTTGCTCAGGTAGCCCCTTCAATTTCAATTATAATGTCATGAGTTGTTGTTGTTGGGTTTATTTAATACTAATGGTTATGATATTTTATTGGAAATTATTGTTTCTAATCGGTGTCCTTGGTGCAGGCATTGAGGAAGGAGCCTTTGACAGTTTACGGGGATGGGAAGCAAACAAGGAGTTTCCAGTATGTGTCTGACTTGGTAAGCATTTTCACTTTTCTAATCACTATGCTTATCTGGCTTGGTCTTTGTTTCTTATGAAATTCAATTAAAAAATTTGTTCTTTGTTGAAAATGATTTTCTCTTTTCTTTATTATGCAGTACTCTTTCCGCTCCACCATATAAAATAAACCTTTTTGACAAATCACTAATGAATACTAGTATATGTTAAGGTGTCACAACTCACAATTTATTAACCATTCACTAAATACAGTTATTCTTTAACCACATTTTTTAAGTGTTGTTACAGCAAAAATTAGTAATTAATATTATGATTTTTTTACACAGAGTATTATGAATATTTAAACGCTTGAAAATCATATATATTTGGATACAACTTGAATGTTAATGAATGGATATTTATTTGTATATTTGAACACTTGAAAATTATGGTAAATAGTAACATTGTGGTTAAAGTATGTTCGTTAACCATCAATTGAACATACATAATTAACTAGTTGTATATATTTAAAATCTGTTAATAATCTAATTTGATGTCAAATTTTTGTATCAAAGTGTCACTTTTCGTTTTTTATGTTTGCTTTAAAACAACTTCTCCACATGTGCACGCTGCACATTAACTGAAACAATTCCCGGGTTTCGGTTAATAGTTCTTTTTCTCTCATAATTAAATCTGATGGTAACTAAGAAGATCCTGCTGGTATTTACTTATGTTATGCTATGTGTCCATTGCACATTTCACTCAGAAGCATTTGCACGTGACTGGAACCTTGATTAAAGGCCCGGGTGGGCCAGCTCCTATTATGGCAGATTGTACAATTAAAAAGTTGTAAAAGCTCATCTCTGACAGCAATTGAAAATGTGGCATAGCCAAAACCAAAATAATTCAAAGTGTCTGCATCCTGTATAAGATGGATGCATGAAGTTAATACATAACACGTGTCCTACTAAAATTAATTAGATTATGGGCAATGTTAGATTGCCGCTATGCGTTTGGATTCAGAATCTTTCTCAAGATGCTGTTGTTTGCTCATTATTTTGATATTTATGTTGGCACAGGTGGAGGGTCTAATGCGCCTTATGGAAGGAGAACATGTGGGACCTTTCAACCTTGGAAATCCTGGTGAATTTACCATGCTTGAACTTGCCAAGGTAAAGACTACTCATTTTCATCACACTAATGAACCCAAAAGCCATGATCATTCAACTAAGCTAATTTAAGCTTTATTCATTTACTCATATTCATCATCATACTTGGCATGTAATAATAGTTTCTTCATATCTATTCTCAATTTCCCTAAAACCAGAATTAGTTAGTCCAATTCTTTGGTTGACTAGTTGTTTCCTATATTGATTATTCTTTCTATTCATTTTCCAAGAATGTGGATGAGAATGAAGAATGTTAGTTTTGGACTGGTTATTTTCTGTCGGTGAATACAGTAACTTCAGTCTTACATCTGTTAAACCTCATTATTGAATGCATCAATATTTGTACGTTTGGTGTAGGTGGTCCAAGAAACAATTGACCCAGAGGCCAAGATAGAGTACAGGCCCAATACAGAGGATGACCCACACAAGAGAAAGCCTGATATAACTAAGGCCAAGGAGCAACTTGGCTGGGAACCCAAGGTGGACCTGCACACGGGCCTCCCACTCATGGTTTCTGACTTCCGGCAACGTATTTTTGGGGACCATAAGGAAGGTGGTACAGTGGCCTAAGTCTTGATGGTAGTATGTTTATGTCATGTGTACCGTAGAGAGTGAGAAAGGGAAAATATGTAGTCTGAGGATAACATCACTTGGGTGTTTCCCATTAGTCACAGCAGCATATGAGCTCTTCTAGAGTGTCCCTTCTGTTGTTCCATCTCCAGCATATTTTCTCTCTTTCAAGAATTTATTGATAGCTATAGCCAGTCATGATTTCATTTATCAGTTTCCTGCCATCTATATCGTTCTATTTCTATTTTTTTGGATGTTATTGGTATGTACAAGTGACTACAGTTATAGTTATTACAACATTTTACCTGAATTCTGTTTTGCTCCAACTTCGCTAATCGCCACCTCCCTCCTGTTTTAAATTTGATTTATAGTTTTTTAGTGATTGTTGCCTTCCTTGAAACCTGGACCCAAGGATTAGGCTCTCATTTTATATATGATTAAATTAGTGGGATTAATTTTAGCGATGATGATGGCACTCGCTTACTAAACGAACATTATCATTATCCCCCCATTAGCAGTCCATCATAAAGACAATGAAAAAACAGATTTGGGTCAGGGGACTGACCTGAGGTCTTATGTCCCTGTTTGAGTTTAGTCTCCCATAGTTTTGCATGAAGCATTTGATTTTGAAACAATTTGGACCCCATTATATTATGTACCAAGAGAATAATGAAGTTGGCCACAATATAGCACAACAACCCTATCTATGTGTAACATGACCATAGTTCAGAATGCCCGATAAGGCGTGTTTATAACTTTTACAGTGATGCGCGAAAGCGGCCTTCTTGAAACTCATTAATATTTCTGCCCTTGTAAGTTGGAACAGGTAAATAAAACTCCAAACTTGCATTGCTTTTAGCTCTTTTGTCCAACCAACTTATGATGTCTCCCAAAACAAGTTCAGTATTTTCATCAGTCTCACCAGCTGTTAACCCATGCCACATTCCCGGGTACAATTTCATGGTCTTGTCTACACTACTAGCTCTATTATATAATGCCTTGCTTATTTCCGGGTCTGTCACTTTATCTGCCTCTCCATGTAACACTAAAAAAGGCAATGTCACCTGCTCAAAATTCACAGTATGAGATTCAAAAGAGAGTAATTGTGTTAACTAAAACTAAGATTCAAATATCAAGTTTGTGTGCAATTCACCTCATGTAAGGTGGTTTCAACACTTAAACTAGCTCTCATCAACTCTAAAGCTGTTTTTAACCTTGGCTTGTCCTGATATATTAACTTGTTTTTCCTTATCTGCGAAAGAGTACATAATTAGTCTGGCAGAACAAAAACATGAAGTCTCAACTAAAGAAAAAAAAGGTGTTAACCATTTCCCGTTTGGTACGATCTTTGAATGCTGAGTTGATGACATCCTTTGAAGGAACTATTTTCCACTTGGGAATTACTTCTTCCAAACCTGTCAATATACTAACAACAACAGGATGGGGTTTCAACTTCTCTGATATCTTACACATTGGTGCGACAAAAATGGCACCGTCCCAAAACGAAGGGTCTTTTTTATGCAATAGTAGGGACACTGCTCCCCCCATTGATTCTCCATACAAGAATTTGGCCTTTCCCTTGTACTCTTGGAGCTCTGAAATACTCAAATGAACCAGCAACTCAACTCAGCATAAACAAGTTCCTAAATGCTTGAACTCAACATTGATATTGTTGAATATAAAGGCAGGAGAACAAGAAAATTCATGATTACCACAAATTGATTTGAAAAAGCTGGAACAGTCGTTTACAATGTTGTCAAATTTGGTTATGTAACAACGAACACCTTCAGAGTGTCCATGTCCTTCATAGTCCATACCAAACACACCATATCCTGCAGAGGCTAATTTCTCTCCGATTTCTAGAGGCATGATTACAAACAAATAATTAGTACTAATAAGTACAATTTGACATTACTAGTAGTATATCAAAATCAATTAGAATATGTAAAGCAAAATTGTAAAGCAAGCACAAGCCTTCTATATCTTCTCTACAACAAAAATACATAATACTTTTCAATAAAATAATTCTTTTTGACATAAAGCAAGTACAACAAAAAATATCAGCAAATATATAAATTTTAGTATGATTAAAATATTTAGGTTACATATCTAAATATAAAATAAAGATTACATAATTTGACTTAACTTTTCTTTCTGAGCTTTAGATAAAAAATAAATATTGCAGAATTAAAATATATTCAAATTAACATTTAATTATATAAAAGACGATAGTTATTTTCCAAATTTTAATCTTTGTATATTAAAATAAATTTGGATTCCATTTTAAAATTAGTTTTTCATGAGTTCACCCACGTGCCTATTCCTCGTGTTGATTTATAATAGGCAAAAAAAATAATAATTCTAATATAAAAATAATAGAATTTTGGAATTGACTTGATAATAAACTTTTATGGATAAATTGTCTTTATAATATTATAGTCCAAATTAATATAACCTATAACTTTTATATAGGTTTTGAAAGATGTTAGATTTGTAAATTTGCGTTTTTAATATTTAGATTTTATAGTTTTAAATAAGATGAATATATTTTTTATATAATTTAATATAATATTTTATTATTTATCAATATGTTTTAATTAAAATGTAACTAGTATAAGATATGGGCAGCCACATATATAACACACTCACCGCCGACCTAAGTTTTGTATTTTCAGGTTGTTGTCAATCCAAAATCACAAAAAACAAATAAGTTGTCTTTCAATCTTCATTAGACTGTATAATTATTTTGTCAGGCATGTGTACTGCTTATTTTAGATTGATTTTATCCATCATTCATCTGGCATCACCGACACCTCTAAAAAAATACGTATTCGTTTCTGTGTATCAGATGCATGGACCGATATTTGTGATTATATTTAATTTATTTATTTTTTTCAAATTATTACTGATATTATCGTGTTAGTGTCGGGGTGAAGTCTTATTCGGGGTGTCTGTGGTTCATAGTTGATAAGTGATAAGCAAAATTAATAATAGACCAAGAGAAAGTTACCTTTCATGAATCTACTGCATTCCATTCCATAGCCTACAATAAACAATCAACAATACCAGCATTAATTTAATTACATTACACAACACCAAATAATGAAGAGATTGAAAAGAGTAAAGAGATGGAATTGAACCATGACAAAGGAAAATAAGAGCCTTGGGAGAAGAAGAAATAGGCAACCATTTGCATGTGAATAGTCGCATTTCCCTTGAGTTCTTCCAATAACCCTGATAAGTTGATAACAACTACAATACATTAATCTCCATATAACAAATTACTCAAAATATATGACAGAAAAAACTTACTTCACGGTATACAAATCTCAAATCCATCAAGTTAGTGGATTCAATATTTTTGCACCTTGTTGATGAGAAGATTAGTATATGATGGTGGTGAAAATCTTCGTAGATGTTGTGCAAAGGCTTTTGTAGTTTCTAGTTACGTGATGAATGAATCAATCAATCAAGAATAACATAAGCAGATAGATGGTGGGACAGAGGAAGAAGGGTAGGCCCTAGTTCTGTGCCACAGAGAAAGATGTGTCATGGTGTGTTTACTTATTTCACACTTTTTTTGGCATCATTTCCTATTTTTTCTATTTCTTTATACTAAAAATAGAATATGAACGATGTTTGCGTTTTCTTCTTTGAACAAGCATAACCCATTCCTTATCTCCATCTTTTTCGTCTTCTTCCAACCTATTATTGTAATTCCTTTTCTTTTTTCTAGGAAGGAAAAATACAAAGAAATACAGATAATAAGTCATTATTATTATTATTACTACTTTCTTACATCTTCAAGCAAATGCACCATGTTTAATTCGGGTTAATTGGGGTTTAAATAATGATCAAACTGTAATAATATAATGTTCACTATGTTTGATCTAAATATCAAACTCAACATTCTATATAAAAAAAATTCCAACTGTGAGAAACCTGTATTACTTCGAGTACAAGGAAGAACATTTTTTGCGATGTAGGAGTTTTTTTATTTATTTTTGAGTCTAGCCTACAAAGAGAGAAAAAAGGCTGAAATTACTCTAGTGTAAACACATAAATATATACATATACGTGTTGTAAACAACAAAATATACTGTAACTGCAAACAAGTATTCTTATTGATAATGATATTACTGAGATACTTATGGCCCTCAGATATCCTTCTGTCATAGTTCCTAACAAATGGACTTTATGTTCTAGAATAGTCAGCTGCAGCACAGAAAACAGAAACCAAACCGGCCATCCCAATCACTTGCGGCCAACTTCGTGTCCTAGCAGCAACAGCTGCACCTGCTGCAGCTCCCCCAATCAAACCATTAACCTGTAGGGGACAAATTCTTCAGCAAAAAAGAAAAGCAGGAAATATAAAAAGTAAATTTTAGCAACTCAATGCCGTCATAATGTTTTAGTTTTTGCCAGGTTTCTCAAATTCCAATTTTTGAAACCATGTAAATACATTAATCTAGCCTGCACAATTATTGCGATAAACATACTAGATTTCATTAAAAAAAATCGTGCTTGTTAAAGCCAGAATCAGCCCCAAAACTACAATAGTGTTCCAGCATAATCACACAAATGTGCAATATTATCTTCCATTAAGCAAATCATTTGGTCCAAACACTTATCTCACATGCAGTGCATTGCCGGCAAAATGAATCTAAATTTCCTTGGAGAAATATACAAAAGTCCCATGTCTGTTTCACAGGGGGGAAAGAACAACGATGCTACATAGAGTTTATTGAGAAGTAGTGGCCATGGCCCATTCTCACTATACTGATGGAGCTTTCAAAATAATACAATTGGAAGCATTTAGATTCTGCCTACAGAGGACTTACAAGATTATACACCTAAATGGTAAGTCGAACAAACAAATAAAAATTGACATTTTCACACAAAATGGATAAGCAACCAGTAATGGTTTCCAACATTAATACCGAAGATAAAGCCACAGAGAGCTCACATGGCCGCTATGGCCGATATACATGGTGGTTTTTGAGCTCGCCGCGATGGTAAATATCGGTTGATATTGCGTGTTTTTCCACCATAATCCGCTATAACGGCATCACAAAGCGGCCGATATGGCGGGATTTTGGCTCTCCACCATGAACCGCCGGCGCCATCCGCCATCAACAACACTGATATTTACTGCACCGCACTTATCCCATTAAGCTTATGTAAACAAAGCTTCACGATGCCCAATAATAGCATATAACAATGACATCCTATCCTATGTTGAAATAGGGATATATGCTTATACCAAGAAGTGTCATAAGTAAGTTAATCTTTGCCCATACTTCGCCCATTTCAGATCCACGACTTACTTTGGGGTTGAATAATCTTTAACAATTCTTAACTAGTGAGGCGATACTTTAACAATTTTGGACTAGTAAGTTTACTTCATCCCGACCATGAATATGACTCCTTCGTTGACAAATAAGAAGCTATGTAGCACGACCAAGATTTCCAAAGTCCAATTTAAATGCTTTTGTTATACATGACCTTGTAGTGTCAATAATTTATAGGACTTTGTCAATCCAAGCAAGAGTAGCACAAAATCTTTAAAAGCAAATTCCATTTTAGCATTAAGGAACAATGTTTAAGCTTCATTACTAATCCAAAATAGTTAAAAGAACAACTACTCATTATCCTTCCGACTCACAGGATAGACTCAATATTTTTGGGTATCATGGTGGATATCATGGGCTACTTTTGGGTTTGACTCAATGGTAAATATCAGCCAACATATCACGGGTTTTCCCTCCATAATCCACTATGCCGGCGCCACAAAGCAGACGGGATGGCAGGATTCTGGCTCTCCACCATGGACCTCCATCTGCCATCAACAACACTGCCATGGGCCGGGACTGACTTTAGTGTTGAATCATCTTTAACATTTATGGACAAGTGAGGTAGTGGAGTTTAGACTTTCTTCTTTTAACAACTCTGGACTAGTAAGTATAGTAATTTACTGCATCCTGTCTGTTGACATACCTCGTCAGTTGACAAATTATAAGCTATGTAATATGGCCAAGATGTCTAAATTTCAATTAACAGCTCGTTATAAATGACTGCCTAGTGCTTATAACCAGTGTAGTCAATATCGAGAAAGATCGTTTTCGTCACCTGTGTGGTCAAGATCGAGCTTTTTGAAGCAAGATCGTTAAAAAAGTGTGCTGGGTCTTTTTTTGGGCCTATATTATGATTTTTCGTATTTTTGTGTATGTGTAGGACATTACCCTTGGTTCCTTACAAGCCGACAGATCCTATTTAAGATCTCGTGCTTGACTACATTGCCTACAACCTATAGAGCTTTGTCAATCCAAGCAAAGAGTAACACAAAATCTTTAAACCAAAATTCCATTTTAGGGTTAAGGATCAAAGTCTAAGCTTCATCACTAATCCATAATTGTTAAAAAAATGACTACATACAGCACATCACTGTCACGAGTCCTTCATCACTTAGAAAATGAAACTTATAAACCAAAGAATTCTCTAATCTAATGGAGTAATCTTTTGGGATGAGCTCTTCATTAGAGCTTATGCTCCTAACACTCGACGAGATCATCACAAAACACATTTCATATAATTGCGCCTCATTACATTCTACTAGACTAGCCGAAAACTAAGGATAAATAAACAAGTTAGAAGTAAGCAACTAACTAACTAACCCAATCATTGCGCCTCCTGTATTTCTGAACGCCGCAGCGGGTAATGCTGAAAACTCCTGCTACAAGTCCTACAAATACAAAATCAAATAACATTAATTCTACAAAACATGATGAATGCAAGCCTCATCAGATATCATCTCATCAAATATCCACAATTGAATTACCACATTGAGTGCCAAATACGCGAACCGAGTTTGCCTGTACTTGACAACCCAAATCAAAATCAAACCATCAGATACCAGAATAGTAAACCCCGGCATCAAATTTTGAAGTAAAAAACTACCAAAAAAAAAAAAAAAAAGCTATCTTTACCACAAACTTAGCTCGGGCAATGCCTTTAAGACCTGTAAACAGAAATCAATGATTACGAGTTAGAAATTCATAGGAACGAGTTTCATTGTATTTGAGAAGTTTAGTTCAATTTAATTTGGTTTACCCTGTGTACGAGCGTCGTAGGGACCAGTACACAAACCCCAAATTGCACCGGCCTGAGGAAGAATTTACAGTTTTAAATGGTGTTTGATTTGGTGAACGAAGAAGTTAAGAAGGATAAACGATGTTACCGTTCCGACTCGAAGGATAGACTCGACGGCGAGGGATGTACATGGAACATCGTCCAGGTCTTCTTCCATAGTTTCCTTGTCCCGGCACGGCAGCTCAAGGTGCTAGGGCCAGCCGTAGAGGCAATTCACGTAACTGGGCCTTTGTTGGGCCTCAACCCATTCATATTTAGAAGACAATTTCTTCTCGCACCTTGTTATCTTTTTTTTCATATCTTTGTGAAATGTTAAAAATATTCCATATTTTTAGAGATATTTTTTTGAAAGCACCATTTTTTTTCATTTTATTTAAATTAAATTTGGAGATATATATTTAAAAATGGTTTGATACTAAAATAAACAAAAACCAGAAACATGGATAATATAGGACCAAATTGAAAACCAAACAAACACTAACACCAACTTGCATTAAATAAAAACACTCAAAATTACATAGATAATCATTAAAATAAATTTAACATTACGTATGTTAAAAACACAACATTGCAACATAATAATTATATCTTCGGCGGAGTTTTGAATTCTCACATCCACTTCAATCAGACTTTTTGATTCATAACGGTGAAAAATACTCTACATAACATTTAAATTTTCATTTGTCTTCAGTTCAAAATTGGTGAAATTTATATCTTTCATTTGTTTTTGAATGAAGGTGAACGATACTCGAGCTTAACAATTCTGCGATATTTTGGATAACACAAGAGACTATTTAATTTGGATATCAGATATGCGACGGATGTTTCCTCTGTGACCCTAAATGGAAGTGGCAACTTATCTCTATTGAAATGCACAGATATAAGATGGAGATATGCATTCATTCTCTGGTTTTTGTGTGTTGTGTATAAACAATGGATTGAGAGACACCTTACTTATTATATTCGAAAATAGTTCTGAATTAGAAGCAAACCAGAAACTTAGTATACAAGCACATACAATATAAACCATAAAAATTTTAATCAAGAATTACACCATTATTGTTGAGGTTATATAATGTATTAAATCATATCAAGATTACATCGTTGATGATAATATATTAAAAGGTGTATCAATTACAATCTAAAATGCATCAAAAGATGTATCATCATATAAATTTACTACTAGTTCCTCCTTCGATTTTTTCCTATTTGATTCTCTTTCACGCACGTTCAATTTGGTGAATTTTTTTCATCCTTTCCAGAAATTGACATGGCCAAGTTTCCGTCTCTCTTGTGGAATGTGTCGTCCACTTCATTGATGTACTTGGAATATGACATCCTAGTTTCAAGTAAATCTTAACAAAATGTGTAGATTTTAAAAGCTATCTAGTACACATGACGCATCCAGAAAGATCTTTGGGTGAGCCACTCTGAAACTAGGAAGAGGGCGAAGATATAATTTCTAGTGTTCAACTACAAGTCTATTTGTAATTGTATAATTGATTGCCTAATATTGACTACTCTTGGGGCCACACCCCCAACAATTCACTTGAAGCTGAAGTACCACTCTATTGAGGATATAGTAGCCACTATGGAATCATATTTGGAAGCTTGTCGCTCTTACTTTTAAGGAAAAATACTCATTTTAGTCTCTTAATTATACTCTTAGGTTCACATTGGTCCCTTAATTTTTTCCGTGTCATTTTGGTCTCTTAACTTTCAAAACGTTTGATTTTAGTCCTTTTTGTCTAATTAGTGACGGATTTAGCGATGAATTTCAAAGTTTTTTGTCGCTAGTTAGACAAAAATGACTAAAATGAACCTTTTTAAAAGTTAAGGGACCAAAATGATACGAAAAAAAGTTAATGGACCAATGTGAACCCAAGGGTATAGTTAAGGGATCAAAATGAGTATTTTGCCTACTTTTTAGCATTGCTCAAGATCCACCAGTAAAGATCTAACACCAAGAAAAACAACTATTGTTGATCAAAGATAAGAAAGATCATGGAGAGCCAAAAAGCATGGACAAAGGAAATCCAAAATTAGAAAATTACCAACAAGCCATTTTTAAGGATAACATTGAGGGATCTAAAGGTTGACACAAGGCCAATTAAGCAAGATCGATACATCTCAAGTAAATCAGACATCCTTTCTAAGACAATGTGAGCATAAAAATATTATTCTTTACATTTTGTTTTAATCCATGTTAAGCATGGATGGATTTACCCATCAAGAACACTGTCTTATGTTTACAAGTATTTAAACTAAATAAACGCTCCTTCCCTTTTTGTTACATTTAATAATTATTTTCTTTCATAAACTTTGTTACACCTTCGAAAAGGGGAGACATTCAAAAATAAAGTGATATCTTAAAGAATCAACCTACGAAAGAGATAATACAATATTAAAGCCATCATCGATAAAAAAAATGGGGTTCTCTCTTCTGCTTGACACTAGGGAGGAGAAATGTTACTTATAGAAAATTTCCCATTCACTAAACGCCAAAGCTTGGTTTAGGTTTAGAAAAAGGCATGCTTGTGCCGGGAATGCCCCCATTGCAGATTGCCTAACTTATCAAATATGATGAAAAATAAAAAGGGAGCAAGTACCAGTCTCAACTGAAGAACACTTAACCTCCACAAAGAAAGCAATACATAACCTCCAAGATAATGATGAGTGCTAAAAAGAAATCGTGTCACCAATATAATCAAAAGGGGTTATCTTCCACCCATTACAAAGGTCTAAAACATAGAAGCATAGTAAACTCAAATTAAAAGGAAAAAAAGAAAGAAAAATATTGGTCCAAAGAATATCCTCCATTTGATACTAACATTACAAAACAAATTCGTAAAACATAAACATGATTCATCTAACAAATGCAATACAAGAAAAATTAAAGTAAAACATTCTTAGTCAATCCAGCCAACCTTCACTATTTTACCAACAACTAGGCCCGTGGTAACTAGAATTCATTTTAAGGAGTTCATTTTCACGCTTGAGAGAACAATACCTATATTATGAAGCCAGAATTTGGACCTATGTGATATTTTTCTCTTCAATATTGATGGCCACTAGAGCTTTGACCTCATATTCAAGAATTGGATATGATATGTGGAATCCTTCTCTACTGCGTGATGATTTGCAACAATTATTTCCAAAACTTCTCTAGAATGAAAAATCTCCCCATTACGCTTAATATGTATTTAATGAAGACATATGGTTAATCAATTAAATAGGTAAAATATGGAAGGTTTTCAAATCTTTCATCACTAATCTATTATAAGCTTATTAAAATGATTATGAGGTGTTACAAAAGAGTTAATTAATTAGTAAAGGTTTAAATAAACTAGTAATTACTTAGGTACGTGCGTAATACATTTTTTTGGTGATTTTATAAAATAAGAAAGGATTAAAAAATATTTGAGTGTGTGAGAGAGGTTTTCATTATTATCTTGGGAGTTACTCTTATATCTTTAAAATACACTAGTCACTCTGACACAGGACCAAACGAGCTTTCATATTTCCTCTCTTTCACAACCTTAAAACTTTAAGTTCCTCTACTTGATTCATTATTAATTTAGAACTTCATATGGAACTTGAATCTTCTACTAATGTGGTTTGATATAACATATTTTATAGACATCATCATTAAATGTTTCCAGACCAAAGATCATCAGAGACTCCCCCGAACACTATTTGATATTAGGTGTTATCATCATCATAATTATCGTGAACATCTACAGATAGTTGTACCAATAAACACTCTACATGTAAGCACACAGATCCATACCATGAATAAAATACCCTTAAACACACCTAAATTAACCTAAGTGTCATCTTTCACGAAAGTAAGTAAATCCATGAAATCAATGAGAAATAGTGAGATTCACATACTCAAAGATTCATCATAACCCTTTATTTTCATGTATGAGATAAAGTATCTATTCTTTAGTTTTTAAGAACCAAAATAAAATTCATTCAAATTTGACATAAAACGATTATCATTCTACCAACAACAAAAGAAACTGGTTTTATAAGATATGTCAATGAAGCATATTGACAACTTTGGACAAGGGGTAAATAACCACATAACGACAACAAAATTTAATGGGTGGAGGCAACCATTTTAAAACATAGAAAATGGATTAAATATCACCAAGATATTTTTATTTCTAGTAAACTCCCGGATAACTTGGAATATAGCACAAAATACTGAAGCACCGAGTCTTATCTAAAGGAAAACACAAAATTGTTGGAAAGCTCATTTATGATTCTAAGACGAGGGAAAGATCATAGATGGAACCAACCTCAAACAAGAAACAAATTACATTTAAAGAATGTAAATGGAAATTGGGAGTTGTAATCGTGAAAGTTCATTCCATACATGGTAAATCGGCACAAGGGAAACCACTCACACATTTGGTTATTGGAAACAGGGAGAACCATGAGCCATTCCTTGGGTTTTTCAAAGAAATTTAAAGCATCAAAATGTTGTATACTTTATGTACCATATTAAATAGTCTCACAATTGAGATAAGATTTGTTTAAACAACTTTGTAAAATTTCCATTTCTTCCGGGATAATGAACCCATTGTTAGGAAACTACAAAGAGTCATGCATAACTATCCGGTTAAGAGGATGAAGTACCAGAACAACAAGAAACATCAAACAAAAAGAAAAAAGAAAGCCAAGTTTTGTTGTATATGTAAGTCCATACACAAGAGAGAAGGTGAATTGTGGAGGTTTTAAAAATATTGGTTGAGAACAAAATCATTTGGGAAATCAGGGTTTGGAAACATTTATTAACCAAACAAGTAAATAAGCAGCAGTAAAGAGATAGATGAAGACTCATAAAAAGAGAAAATCACTGAAAAGTAAACGAGATAACGGAGGGATAAAAGACATTGGAGACTTATATAGGTTCATCCTAATAACTTGGCATACTCTTGTCGCCGAGATTTCTTCTTGAGATTATCCATGAACTTGAGAACTTTTATAAGGATGTGCCCATGAACCTCCTTTTACAAGATATGAAGTTTAAACGCTGACTTTAATCAAACAACGAACATAGTATATCCGTTGAATTAAATAGAGATTTTGCACAGTCTGATCTCCAACCAAGATGGAGTTTTATACTGACTATCCTCCAAACTGTAT